ATCCTTCGATTTCCAGTAATGGCTATACACATTGGCAAGTACAGTATTCTATATATGCAAATTTATTAGAAATGCAAGAAATCAAATATTCCAAGTTATCCTTGGAAAAAACAGTAATTTTGAGCAGAACAAAACGTTATGTGTTTTGCACCAACTCAAAGAGCATGAAACGAAAAAGAATCTAGTTCTATCAGATGTTGTACGCATACGTGTAACAGGAAGCTCTACTTCAAAGACCTTACGAAGTAAGATGCAGAAGGAAAACTGTTATTAATTCTAATTAGTTTAGCCACACAAAAAGATGGATATGCTGTGTAAAATTTTTTAATGTGTATTCATAGAGCATATATAGTAATGGCAGAAAAACAACGTAATGCAGCAACGTCTTAAAAGTGACTTCAGCAAAAGCCTCCTTAGCGGTGGAAAGCGTATGGCCTACTACTGCACATTTGAATTACACTGGGTGCTGCAGAAGAGAAAGACAGGCTTGATTTTCCCTACTACACTTTTATGTTAACTGAGTATTTTGACTGGAGTATGCATGCCTTGAATAAAAAGATATGTTAAACTCTGGAAATGTCCCAATTGTTTAATTTAACCTCTGATACCCATTAAACATCCACGTTTTTCTCTTACTTAAAATGTTTACTTCTAAATGACTTTTCATTCTACTAGCAGAGATAGAAACTATATTTAGAAACATTTAGAACAACACACCCCAAACATAATAATGTTTTGGCTTGTTGTATACAAACACAATAGGGGATATCACAAGCCATTTCTTGTGCCCACTCAAATTCTAAATATGTTTATTGTCCATGTACACATTGTTCTGATTTTTCCTAGTCATGCATTACAGCTATTGTTTTAGAGAGAATCTTCCCACTATTAGGATTTTATGCTGAACCAAGTTTTCAGATTGAATAACATAAAGTCATGTAACTCAGCCAATTTAAAACATGCATTTCTTGATAGCATCCTTTTAAGTACTACTTGCTTGCCACACTTACTTCAAAATAACTGATTATGGAATATTTAGTCTACCTTCCTCCAGCTCATACAGAAATCATAATACTTGAGAACATATACAATAGCTGTTTTTATATTATGCAATACAATGCGAATGCAAATTTTATGAAAGAGGTGAATCATCACCATAGAAGTTGTGTGATTAAAGCAGAAACTGTCACTGAAATGATTCTACTGAAATTACCTGTCATTCTCTGGAAGAAAGTCTAAGATAGATAGCACACAAGTTACTTTTTGATGACAGAAATGGCAATACTTTGACCAGGAGAAATTCATTGTTCAGGGAACTGTTGAAAAGAAAAGGCAGAAGAAAATACTAATGACATTATTCACCCATCATGCCTATTTCAGGTCAGCCAGGTGCATATCCTAAGCTGTCTTTTTCAAGGTGCTCATAGAGAAAACAGAGCCAAAGTATGAAGAAAAATGTTATCAATCTTGAAAATTTTAATAGGAACATGTCCCATTTTACAAAGCCCACATTCAGCTGCAATAACACATGTTCAAGTGTGAAAAACACATCTACAGCAACAGAATCCACATTCCACAAATGACATTGCACACCAAACTTAGGCGAGATGCTGCCTCTCCAAAGAAATACAATTGTATATAGGACAAAGAGAAAACACTATCAATACAGTTTTGTGTTTCCTTGGGTTTGTTTTTTTTTTCTTTTCACTTCCAACTGTAATTACAGTAGCTTTGATGCTGTTCTAACATGCACAAACATGGAACTTTTTTGAAGGTGTTGCATACCACTTCAGATTGCTAAAATACAATATATTTCTTGCCCATTTTTGCACGAATTTGAGCCCAAAAGTCATTTTTTGACCCAGTTCTAACCTAACTCAGATCACTTTTTCTGGCAAGGGAGAAGATGGGAAAACAGGCAAATATATTACAACTTCTTATGATGGAGTCAAGGTACTCCAAAAGTTGTAGCTTCTGATTCTTTAAAACTGAAAGTTCCTTAGCTTTGTAGGCAGTTGCCCAACTGAAAATTCCCATCTCAAACAGATTTGGGAGAACCAGGTTCAAGTCTAATCAGAACCAAACAGAATGAGAACCTGTACTTGGGTCTCCCCTATCAAATTCTAGTCTTGTATCTCTGTCTTAAAAATATTTGGGAAGATCTTAGCTCAGTAACAGTACTTTAGACATTTTCTAAACTTTGGCAGGTCAGAAAAACTGTTTCATACTAGTTCAAATATGAAGCAAATAGAAAAAAAAAATCACTATTTATCTTGTCTCTTCTTTCAAATTTTCTAAACATACTTATCATTCTTTCCAGTTTTAATTGCATAAGAATAGGCATTTTCAGCATGAAAATGATACTTTCCTTCAATGAATTATGAATCCTATTTGACAGACATCAGTATATTGATTGCTGGATCGCAGATGTGGGTTTCTTCCAACAGAAGCCTGTACCGTGACTAAATGGAGATGGGAGGAAGACTGTGAAGATTGTACAGTCTAGTAAATCTGCCTTTTGAGAATTGAAACAGAGACAGCAATCGCTCAGCGTGTCCTTTTTTCTCATTCATTCAGTGATACGGACCTAGCATAACTGAAGTGAGAATGTTATCACTTTTGTCAGGATTTCAGAACAAAAAGATCCAACATCCTTCAGTTGCGCTTCAGACCTTCCTCCTAAGATACCACCAATATTTGGTGAATTCACACCACTCTTTGCATAGCCGGTCCACTTTTTCATTAATTGGTAAAAGTGTGAAAAGAAATAATTACTGACTACAGAGAAAAAACCATACTTTTCACAAGTAGCAACAATCTGCTGAGCACTTTGCTTATTACACATAGAAAAAAACCACATTTCAGTTGTGGGGGTTTCTTTAAAATCATGCTAAGTGAATGGCTAAGTGAAGGAATAATGTCCCATTCAAATAATAAATCATATTTGTATTCAAGTAAAAGGAAAACACTCTGCTTCTGATATATTCTTTGTGATTTGACTACACCATGACTGGGGTTGTCCCAAATGAGGGCAGTATGCTAGGAAATTATCAACATATGCACCATATGTACCATATGCTGCCTTTATTCTTCCACTTTTCTTTAGACGTCCACTCAAAGACGGGATATAGGACTAGATGAAAGTCTAGTCTGACACAGTATTGCAATTTTTACAGTCATTTGTTTTTGTTTTCAATTTATAAGCAAGAAATAAGTTTTCTTTTTAAATCACTAGACTGGATGAAATACCATTTTGAAGATTTTAAAATATTTTTATTTTATACTTACGGTTACCTTAATACCTGAGACACTGATTTTCAAACTACTTTAAATGTGTCAACCTTTAAACATTCATCTTTCAATGGAGGATCAGATGTTTGCATAAAATTCAAACATGATTCGCGTATAAAGATACAAGCTTTCCTTTGGCGTTAGTTCTCTTTCTTCTGCACCAAGTGGTACATACACGCTAGAATTTTTCCAACATTTTTTCTCTTTCAGACTCACTTGTTTCTTTCCACTCCCATGCAACCTTTTTTCTTGTGCTGGCAAAAGTATTTATGTGGGTGTACAGTGAATCAGATTCCAGAAACTATCCCAGATTAAAATTGACTATTTTAACTGGTTTATTTTTGGTATACGTCATCTTCCCTATGTGCTTCACTGAATGACAGAACAAAACCCTGGTGATGTCAAGGGAGCTGCAGAAGTCCTACAATGACAGGGCACAAGTGGTGGAGGCTTCTTCTGGAACACACTGACTTGACATGTACTCAAAACTATGGCCTCCGTCCGGTTTTGTGTGATGTTCAAAAATTACTGCTGAACATTTTTGCTCTGATGTACAGAAAAGTTTGTTCTGTGTGTTTTGACTATCCTCATCATGTTGAAAGTATCCTGAATGTTCTAGTTAGACAACAGGGTCTAAGAACATTTATTGCAGAAGTGTTATTATTCACATTTGCATGCAATTTTTTAATATAAATTAGCACCAATGCTGACAGTATTAAAGCTAGTTTTATATTACAAAATATGGGATATTTAGCACAGGCAACATTAGAAAACTGACAGACATATGACCTTTCATTAACTGAGCCAGATATAGTTCTTCTGGGTATTATTTTAGTATATGAAAATTATAATTGTCCTACAGACTTAAAAAAACTTGGATTACACAATTCAGAGAGGGCTAAATGCTAATATTCCAGGCAATCAAAATTTGTTACATGCAGTGGAAATCTTTGCAAAGTATTCTATGTTGTGAATTAGCTCTAGGTTTGAAAAGTATTTAGAATTTATTTTTAGAAACTTATTTCAAATATATGACAGAGTAATAATAGAAATGAGGTGATATAAAGTATATAAGCCATGCTTGGTTTGGGACAAATAAATATACTCTTCTGGAATTACCTGAAAACAAAGAGTATAAATTCTTCCAAAACCTACCAAATTGCCAAGTAATAAAATGCCTTATAATGGAAAAAGGATTCTTGTATACAACATAACTATAAAATATGTTGTTATATGGTTACAGTGTCATATCTTTTAAGAAAAATATTTTAACTATTGAACATTTATAACTAAATATCTAACCTAATCAAAATTGACCGTATTTTCAAACGTATAACCCACGCCTCAGATAATCTTAGATATAATGTTCCTTGGGTATAAATACTCAGAAAACGTACTGTTAGCACACACAAAACTAGGATAAAGATAGGCATAATCAGAGGGAAGGTGGCTACAAAGCAAAGACAAGCAGATTATAGAGCAGGGGGGATTTCAGGAAAGAGGGAGCACAGAAGTAAAATTCCCCTTATCTAATCTGAACATACATATAACCCCAGTTCTGTTGAACTCCAAGGCTTTGTAATTTAAGGGATTTTTTGGTTTTTGTATTTTTAAATAATCTATAGTTGGCCGAGAGCAATAAAACCACAGTAACAATGAAGGTACTGTGGAGATGCATTCATTTAAACATGCTAATAAACAAAGGTTACCTTTCCAATTTGATTTTGTGATGCAATAGTCTCATAGTTATCCTGCCCTGTGCAGTTCTTAAACACTAAAATTCTGTCAGAGGTGTCCTCAACAGTTTTCTACATGCAGTTGGCAATGACAGGCTTGGTTTTCTTTTGCTTGACACCACTATGAAGACCCAGGCCTTTCACTGTCCAAGACACTTTCTTCATTAATGACAGATGGTCTGAAAGAAAAAAAGAAAAAAAAAAAAGTTAATATTTGGCTTCAAGATTAAAACCGGACACACCATGCTCCCTGTTCCCTATTACCTTAAAAATACACACTGGTCTGTCTCCACTTAGGTGCTGGTATTTTCTGAAATACTACCACCAGCTTCCTACTAACCGTGACATAAGCTGTAGCAAGCTGTCTGCAGTGATAGCCTGCATAAATCATCATTCCTGAAGGGAACAGATGTTCAGGGTATGAAAGAGTAATACCACAATTTAGTCATAATTAAAATTCACCTTAGCATGCCTCTATCAGTGAGCAGAGAGGAACATTTCACTTCTCACCTACAAAAATGAAATGCCTCTCATTTCTTCTGCTTCAGGAAAATTAAGCCTGAACCTTTCATACATTTTTTGAGTTCCATATCTGACACTGCATCATATCAATGACATTTTTATTTCACTTCGACTCTTATTGTTTTTCCTTTTTCCAAACACTAGAAAATGACCTCTAAATGGTGTCCTGCCTCTGCACAAAATGCACTTACAATTAAATCTTTGAAGGAGAATGTTGTACCTTGCATGCAGAAATATAATCATTAGCTATCTAGTTACAGATCAAAACTGTGCCAATAAACATACTCATTGTACTGATAACAATTCAGTCTGAGCTAGCTGGATATTTAAAAACTGAGGGGCTGATGGCCTTTAAAAATTATTCAGTAATCTAAGATCACTAAAATCAGTGGGAGTTAGAGGATTAACTCAGTCAAAAATTTGATCCTTAGCTTTGTAACTGCCATTAATGTTAACGGAATGTCTCTATACACATAATTTCAAAAAAGTAAGCCTCATATTGCTATTATTACAGTTGGATTACATTAGATGCATGACAGTTCTGAACAATGTGTTTCAATTCACAAATCTTTATATCATGAGGCTACTTATTATGAAATATAAAGCATGTATTGATTATGTTAATAAGTATGTCTCTAAAGCCACTAAAGTGTAAACGGCTGAGCTTTTCATACCTATTTAAAGTTCTAAGACAAAAGATAATTTATCTTCTCATCAACATTGATATTGGCAATAAATTTGAAAAAATTCTCATTAAACCATGGTTTAGTTTCCCAACTAAGTATCTTTAGTGACTGTCAATTTATGGAACTTCACATTGGGTTCTAAAGTCCATGGATTAGATCCTCATTGAATGTAAATTAGCTAACCTTATTGAATTCAGTACAGCTACATTAATTTACCAGGATTAAGAATGTGAATTTATAAATCTATTAATCTAGTAGGGATCATTTTGTAAGCAATGTGACTTCTCAACAAGTAAGTGAATTTCAAATTCACCTTTGAAAAATTTTGGTTTGTTTTCTTTCACAAGGATGCATCTACATTAGTGTTCTAGTTCAAAGACTGCAATTTTTAAGTGAGGAACCTATAGCTTCCACTTAATGTATTTTGATTTGTATCACAGAGCAGTTTCAAAGCATGCAAACTGATATCCTTTGGGTGAAACTAAACCAATGGATGTGCTCCAGAGGTGTACCTAAAGCCCTTCCACAAGTTCACTGAGCAGACTAGAGCCAGCCCAGAGTAAAATCTCGTAAAATGTGTATATTGGGGCCATAGTACAAGTTCCTTTGCACTAACTGCTTTGTTCCACAGATCTGTTTCTCTGGTGCTGTACAACTTGTTAACACAGATGTCACTTCATTTTCCTGCTCCCTTCTCCAGAGCTCTTCCTGTTAGTTGTAGAATTTATGGATTTTGCCTTATCTTTACTTTTGAAACAGCACAAATGTGCATGTGCAGTTGTCAGGAAGGTATTCTGTGGTTGCTGTGAAAAACAACTGGCATGTGCACTTGGGATGAATTTATTAGAAATCTGCTGCTAAAACTCTTAAACATTCCCATTGCCACTGATCAGGTTCCAGCATCAAAGGACTTTGCTAACACCAGCTGTACCAAGAAGACTCTTAGGCTCAAAATAGCCATTTACATAGTATATTTAAAACCAGAATGCCAGGTAGGATACAGATGAGCGAACAGCATTCGTTCTTACCTGCCACAGCTAAAAGTAACAATGTTAAATTGGGAAATGCAGGGAGACTTCACTGAATGGTATTAACAATTCTGTGTGCTTCACGGTCCTTATTATTAAACAATTGAGAGATGTTTATTTTTATTGGTTTATTACTCACCTAGAGAGCATGAAAGTTTTACTAAATCCATTTTAGAAATGGGATCCCTGAAAAGTTGTACAGGATCTCACAGAAGAGTTTGAAACAATCTCCTCTCTAAAAGGACCTGCTCAAATATCAGCCACTTACCAGAACAGTTACTTTTTACTTCATGAACAATAACAGTTTATGAAGACATTTTTGTAATGGACATTAATTTTTATGCTAATAACTCCCCTTTGTGTGAAAAGATTATTTTGGTTGACTGTGTAAGACACCCTGTCTTACAGCATATAGGATGGCTTGACTGCTCCTTGGTCCCTCCATCAATACAGGTTCCAAGTCGCATGAGATTGTAGTAATGAGGAAGATGCATCTCAGAATTCATACGAACAGCATATTTTGAATCACTCCTTCAAGTAACTTATCCATTAATTCCGCTTCTGATCACAAGAAAACAGCAATCTGGTTATAAAGAGGTGGTTGCAAACCAGTTTTACTACTGGTTGAAAAATACCTCTACTAACATTGGAAAACAGATCTTAAGATCTCAACTGAGCAACATCAATGAGCAAAAAGATGGACTGTCTGTCATCTGGAAATTTTTGAAAATGGTATGTTTTCAGAGAAGTTGCAGAAGGTGGTTCAGCCTTGGAAGGGTCTCTAACATGCATTGACAAATCTAGTCTAAGTCTGTGCCATGATTTAGTTTGGTAGGGTATTCATTTATATAGTTATTGGACATATATTACATGCTATTTCCCATCCCATATAAGCAAGTATTAAAAGATGGCTGGGTAACAGCAAAAGGCTGTTTTTCAGTTTAGGCACACTACACTAAGTAAGTGTAGTTTGGTTTCCTCCTGAGCAGAGTGGTACTTGGAAAAGAAGTGGCAGCTGATTTAGATTATAATGAAAGATGACATAAGGTGAAACTTAGAGATCGCTTGGCATTGAATGATAAGAGCAAGTAGATGCCTAAAGGCAAATTTAGGAAGATTATAGCTGCCTAAGCCAAAGAATGTGATAAACAAAAATTTTGCCCACCCTTTAAGGTTACATCCACAGTACCCCTTAAGGCTGGCTGGAGAATTGCTCTGAAGGTCAAGCTTGTCTGTATTCTATAGTACAAGCCTGCAAGGAAACGTCAAGCACAATAGGAATAAACCCTCTAGGAATCTGCATGGCCAAAAATGCTAAGCATGACCATTTGTTCCCAGCCTTGGCTGAACAAGATGTCAATGAGGTTGTTATGTGCACACAAGGCAGGCGCTACATGGTAATGAATATACCTCTGCCGCTTCAGAGCAGTGTAGACATAAAATCAGGCACTTGAGTGTCTTTGTGTTCCCTTATTTTCAACAATAAATGACTCTCACCACCTGAAATTGTACATTGATGCTGCTGTGCATCCTTAAGCGACCATGATGCTACCTGATTTGAGAAGTTTGGCAGCCACCAATCTTTTGGGGCTTACAAACTAGGAATCTCCAAAGCAAAATTCCCTCATTGAAGGGATACTTCAGATATACTAAGTGCAGAGACAAACAGTGGTAGCACTGAGTTTATCACAAAGTAAACAAGACACGAGCATTTAAATCAAAAACCAACATGAAGAATGGTGGTAAAGTCTCATTTATAGAAGTGGCCAAGTGTTTATATTTCCTGGGTAGGAGGAGGTCAGACTCTATAATCTTCTCAGTCAAACAGACTCCGTTCCATATTTCACAATTCCCAGGAGAGTACTCGTCATCTCCAGTATGCACGCTGGATTGAGATCTCTCTCTTGTTGCTATTGGACTGTGCAGCAATAATGCAAAATTCCTGGGGAAAAAAAGAAAGAATAGCCATGGGAATCTGACTTTACAGACCATTGATAATAAAAGTACTTATTTGGAAATAGGGTAAGGATTTCATAATCCCAGTCTTACACAATGTCTAAACAAGGTGTTTAAGTGGAGGCATCAGATGAAGTTTCAGCTTCATTCCTTTCTTCAGGATTTCTTAGCACCTGTTGTAAATACTGCTTCTCTTGGACCTGACCTGTGCTTCACACTGGTGTTATAACTGAAAATGTTGTTACATTTAACAGAAGTGACTTGATGGGAGACTAGAAGGAAGTTTCTAACCCCGCTAAAAATATTTTGAGGTTTTCACATGCCTAGGATATGTGACAGAAATAGAGCAAATACGGACCATGGAATGCAGAAGATTGCGAAGGTCTGTAGGGAGAGAGGTTATACTCTATTAAACTAACAACTACAATAAGAAAAAACAAACAAGCTGTTTGTTTGTTGCAAGTCCTTCTTGCATTGCTTAAATACTTAGAACATCTACAAGGACCTACTGCTACTACTCCAAAACGAGTGGATTTCATTCACTTTCAGAGTTGGGAATAAAATGCAGCATCATTATGCAAAAGGAAGGTTGAGAGACCATGGAGAGAAGGCAGTTGAGAGGAGGTCTAACCGCAATCTTCAACTTCCTAAACAGTGGCTATAGGAAAGACAGAGAGAAATTTCTCAAAGGGGCACAGTAAAAGAACATAGAATCATAGAATGGTTTAGGTTGGAAAGGACCTTAAAGATCACTGAGTTCCAACCCCCCTGCCATGGGCAGGGACACCTCCCACTAGACCAGGTTGCTCAAGGCCAGTCCAGCCTGGCCTTGAACACCTCCAGGGATGGGGCCTCAACAGCCTCTCTGGGCAACCTGTTCCAGTGCCTTACCACCCTCAAAGTGGTGGGAAAGGAAAGGAAGGAAAAACTTCTTCCTAATGTTTAATCTAAACCTGCCCTCTTCCAGTTTATAGCCATTCCGCCTCA